AAATGAGTTCTGTGCTTTTCTTTGGTAGTGTCATCACAGCTGGTGGTGTATAGTATTATTGATCTAGCTGACCGTCATAATATTTGTCAAGAGAGTTCCCAGGATTGGACAAGGTTATCTGAGCAGAAAACATTATTGCTCTGGGTTTCTGGATCAGAGACCAGCTCGCCCCACAGCCCTTCCTGCTGCATGCCCAGATTAGGAAGGTGTTGGGTACAAGGCTACACCCTGGCCAGATGTGAAACTTTTAGGGGACGCTCCCAACAGGCCTGAGATGGGGGCATTTAGCTCCGATGCCTCCTGCCCCTGTGGGCACTCCTAGTGGGTGCTGCTCCAGAGCTAACTGGAGCCAGGAGAGGTGGAAAGCAGCAGGAAGAGGAGAAATTCCTACCAAAACAGCACAATGAAAACTAACAGCCTTCTACTCTTATTTTTTTTTTCTTTAATAGAGTGTTTTTGGTTTCTCATGAAAGGTTAGAAATCATAGAATCATAGACTGGCTTAGGTTGGAGGGGACCTTAAAGACCACCTCATTCCAACCTACTTATGTGCCCTGGCTGCCCCCACCCAGCCTGGCCTTGAGCACCTCCAGGGATGGGGCATCCATAGCTCTCTGGGCAGCTGTGCCAGGGCCACCTTCTGACTAAAAAATTTCTTTCTAACATCTAAACTAAATCTCCCCTCTTTTAGTTTAAAGCCATTCTTCCTTGTCCTTTCACTATCTCATTATGTAAAAAGTCAGTGCTCTCCTGCTTGGAAGCTCCCTTTAAGAAGAAATGGGTGGGTTTTGGGTAATAAAATGGAAAGTTGAAATGTGAAAACATCCCTGCCTCACTTTGTCTAACATTATGGCTGACAAAGCTAAAATGTGCTGTAAAACTGAGTTTTGAGGCTGGCATTTACTGTGATAAGTGCCAGAGTATTGCCATTACAACTGTAGTTTCCCATCTAAAATCAGTTAAATTCCCATTTTTATGTAGAAAAGAGGTGATTTTCTTCAACATTTAGCCTGAAATTCAATCTTGTTGGAAATCGCATTGGGCTAATTGCTTCCACTCTGTGTCTGGTGGATGCAGGGGTGCAGCTGCTTTGTGCACAACAGTCCACACACTTCTGGAATCCCCACTTGGTAACCAAGAACCTGTACAAAAAAACTGGGTGCAGCTTCTCACACTGTGTACAGAGTGACGTTGTGGTAGATGCTGCATCTTTGTGGAAGCAAAGTCAATGAAAGCAGCAATCATCGGATGTCTCCTGGCATAGTTTTGCCCATGTGCAGGCAAAGTGTTTCACAGGAGGCTGAGAAGCTGTAGTTAATGTCACAACTCTCTACCTGCTGTACAGACAGCATTCACAAAAGTGTCTGATGCATGTGAGTGTGCTCCCACTGATAAAGGCTACACATGAGAGAATGCAAACGTGCAAAATATCTCCAAGTTTTCTCCCGTCAAGCTCTCATTGGAACTTACACGGTTTCTTCTCCTCTTGCTGCCCACTCCTTCTTCCTCCTCTGTGCTGCTTATCTGGGGGAAGATTCTCAGGTGAAATTTGTAAATGCTTCTCTGTTGGGCAGAGGAGCTTTGATAGCATGAAATGAATAGCAGGTAACATAATAAGAAAAAGTATCTGGCTCAAGCTTTGGAAATGTAAATTCTTTTATCAGTCCCTCTGCTAATTAGAATTGCTGTTTGTCATTTCACATTTAGTTGATTTCATTACATTTTCTTTGGTGATTAGATATTTTAGCTATAAATTAAGAATGCCAGACTAAACAAAAACAAAAACAAAAACACAGCGACAAAAAAGAAGCCCTTCATTAAGATGCAGTCAAAGTTGTTTGTATATAGATATGACTCTGATTAAAATAATCTTGTTAGAACATGCTGTTAAGGAAAATAAAGCAAACAAATGGACCACAAAAGTTTGAAAGTTGGGATGAAGGACGAGGTGCAGTCCTTCCAAGTCCCAGCATGAATACCCTCAGTCTGCACTGTGCTTTGCTCTCCAGGGTCAGAGCTCTAACTCAGGGATGCTATCAGAAGGACACTTTTGCCCCTCTCCCTTGGGACCCTCTCTTGGACTCTCCTTTTCCTATCCCATACTCAACTCCACCGGCTTGTGTCCTGGCGAGGGCTGCCAGATATTCCCTGTGGAGGCCACAGCCCTCCTGCTTGTACTTTTATTGATACAGCACAGATAAGAGCTATCCTAGAATGCATTCTGGAAGACAAACAAGCCTCTCTGCATTTGGAACTGTGCTTTTAGAGAGCAGACATTGCAGAAGAAAAAACTATTGCACAAATTTTTCCTTCTTTCTAAGAATGATTTGTATCTTATTAGCCCAAGGAAAGGACTACCCAGGAAGTGTCTTAGATTTGGGTTCAGACTTGTTAGCAAAATTAACTTCTGCTCTACAAGGGAGGCCTCGCACATGGAGACAGTGGTATGTGGGAGATTAAGAGAGCTGGAGGCCAGTGGATGAGGACAGCTTCTCATTGAACAGGAGGAAAAAATCTTGTTCCTTTACTAACTTATTTACTTCTTTGTCCTGTGTGAACTCCCACATTTATTAAGCTTTCAATCCAAGCTTGTTTTTGAGATGAGCTGCCTTGTACCTAAAACACTAGATAAATGTGAAAAGTACCCAAATCCAAACAAATGGAAAGGAATGACATTTTTCTTCATCTGAAGGTCAGCATGAATGCTGAACATGCTATTACAATTGGCTTCTTAATTTCAAGTGTCTCCCTGCAACTCAATCTCCTCCCTTTTGTATCCCCCTTCTATTAGTTTAGTAATATGCTGTCATTCTGATTTTTCTTAATTTTGCTTGTGATATTACTTCTCCTTTTCCTCCTCCTATGGGAACAGATTTCTTCTGCCATATGCCCATTTAAACCTAATTGTAGTATCTGAACATCTTGTGTGCTTAGCCACAGCATCCCTTGGGGTTCGACTGAGGCAGAGTACGTATGTGACCTTTAAAGCCATGTCAATGTGAGACTCTCACAGCACATGGCTCTTTAAAGCCTGGATGTCTATGCTTCATACTAACAAATTTGACCAGCCTGCCTTTTTATGAGGATATCATCATTTTGGGCAAATTCCAGGTTCCATATTCTAAATCAGCATGCCGAGTGCTTTCAAAATCTCCATTTCCCAAGGATCAAGTTGCAGAAGATTAAAAAATGAGAAAATCAAAGCTGTTGTTATTTTATTCATTTATTTCAGCAAATTTGTAGTAGTAACTACATGAACATGACTAATTGGCAATTTGTAAAATGGTCTGCTCACAGGAGCGAAGTTTTAAGCACATCGATGCTGCAACTGTTTCCTTATTATGACAGATCTTAAAAAGTGTGATCAGGTTGTTATAGGAAACAGTGAAAGCTCCCTGGATTGCTGAGCATTCTAGGCTTTGTAGTTGTAACTTAAGTGGTCTTTATTGTCACGCTTTGCATGCATATACTGGGAATATGATTGCGCTGTGGAAACTGAGCTGGCCTAACAGTTCTGCCATAGTCATGCTATACTGGACTGGCGTCTCACAAAATCTCTTTGACTCGGCGAAAACTTTTTCACAACAAATGTGCTCAGTTTGAATCCTTCTGTCAAGCCATAGCATCGCTGTTGAGGTTTTGTGCTTCCCAAGGCCTCTCTGGCAGTTCAGCGTATAAACTGTTGAGATTTCAGAGCTGCAGTAATGTAGAAGTCCTTAACTGTAAAAAATAAGGTGTGTCTAAATACATGTAGAACAAAGCACTGCATGGTAGTTCTTATGAATATTGACACCGATATTTGGGTTCTTAAGAGTAATTAGTGGTGGAGGAGAGTAGAGAGGCTAAGAGGAAGTGGTCATTGATTTGTACCCTGAAATAGGAAAAAAAAGTTAAAATGTAGTTAAAATTGATGGCATGTTCTGGTAACACAAGCATACTATATGTTACACATGTATTGAAATTAACTCTAAAACAAGTATGACAGGAAATATAATGTTAAAATGACATGTCAATGAAATAAAAGCATTTTAGATTCTGAAAATACACAATTATGGCACCCATTCAGTGTTAGCTTTGCTCAGTAGTGCTGTATATCACACAGTGGGCTTTTGACTGTTAGGCATTTTAGTTCACCAATACAAATTAGACATTTTAGTATTTATCATTCCAGCTCAGCTTGATTAGTTGGTGTATAAAAAGCAGGTACATGAACATATGTTTACGTTCTAAATCTTCTGATATCATTACATGAAAATTCCTTATCCAAAAGCCCTGAGCTCTGAAAGATTTCTAAACATAGAATGGGCCCCAAATCTAGGTTTTAGTACCCTCCATTGCTTTCTGCTGAGAATGTAGCAAAGGAGAAATTCAGAGCATGTAAACAGTAGGAAAAAAAACAGCCACTGAGACTGGCAGATGTGGTAAGCTGATTTTATTCCTCTTCTTGTTTAAACTCAGTACTGAGGGACTGGAAAGAGTGGTAGCCTTTGCAGCGCAGATTATGAAGAAAATCAAGTACTAGTCACTTGTCACAGGTTAATTCTAAGTCAACCATCTTTTCCATGATAATCACATCCTAAAGCTTAGTAGTGCATCTTTCTGTTCAGTGAAGAACTCTGCTGATTTTCCTCTTCGGAAGCAATTATAGTGTGGGATTCCTAGTGGCAAGATTTGAGTAATGAAGGCATCTTTTTGGAGAGGTAGCTTTTGTAGACTCGCAATGTGTGAAAACCAAGCTTACGTGGTGACCATTTGCACTTCTGAGCTACTGTTAAAGTTCGGATTTCTGGAAGCTCCATCAAGCCTAAACAAAAGTGGCAGCAGATCCATGATTTCTGCCCCCCTCCACAGCCATTATTATTTATTTTGGCTTTCTCCCACAAAACCTCACCTATTGCTTAGGTGGCTTGGAAAAAATAAAACATTGAATTTTGTTTTCGCAGAGAACCGCAGATGGGGAAGACAAATGCATCTTTCTTTATGAAAACACCCAGATGCAAACTTGCTGGAGTACAACTACAGGAGCTGTATATATGTGTGTAGAGGTGAGTATTTTGTATTATTCGTTACACCACCAAGTTCAGGGCGCCCACAGCAAAGCTCCCCCGGCTCTTCACCTTCTGAGCAGTTGGCAGGACCTAATGGGGATGTGAGGGTAAGTGAAGCTGCTCATGTTGGGCAAGTATCTGACCTCTGCATTCAGACAGTGACACAGCTGGATGATGGCATCTGCATCAGAGGAGGGAGCGTGTGTGTTGTTGGTAATGGCTCACAGCTACATTCTGATTTTGCCTGCTATCTATATGGTGAACCGTATTCAGGATTTATTTCTTCACTGACACCATCCTATTTTTATTTGATACTTACATCAAATGTTTGCTGCCTTTTAATTAATATTATGTTCTGCTACATATTTATTTGCTGGAAAATAGGAGGGTAATCTATATGGTCAAAGGCCAGAGAGAAAGATGGTTATTTTGTACCTAGAATTAATATAAAAATAGGGATGTGGGTTTTTAGAGAACAGAACAGTATGGGCTTGGCCTGAATTGGATCGGGCCCAATATCCCTGTAAGGAAGAAATAAAGGGCTTGAAACTTCTCCCACTGAGAGCAATTACAAACCTGCAGTTGACTCTAATATCTGTGCATGATAGGGGCATAATAAATTTAAGGTCTGGGATAATCAAGGAGGACTGTGTAACCTTCTGCTAATGCTTCTGAAAGATGCTCTAGAAAAATAGTAGGCATGCGGAGCACTGCGCTACCAGGTTAATAAAAGAAATGTCTAAGGTACTCACTTGATGTAGTCAGATATGGCTGGTCTTGGGAGCCTGATTATAATTTCACAGGGATTTAAGATGAAAAAAATTGGTAAGAAAATCTATGGAACTGAGAGCGTGGTCACTTCACGGGAGCATGGAGGAGTAGAGGTGAGGGAGGAAATTTTGCAAAGGTACATGTTTGAGTTCCTGTATCTTGCAAAAAAAAAAAAAAAAAAGCAGTAAAAGGGCCATTTTAGCCAAAGCTCTCTCCAGCTTGATGTCCTGTTTCTGACAGGCAGAGAGATGGTACAGGGCCAGGGCTCCCGTGCAGTGCCAGGCTTCAGCAGCTCAGGGATTTCACATGAATGAAGTACTCTGCAAGGAAAAGTTACTGCTATCCATTCCGATATCTTCTTGAAACTCACCTTCTGTGTAGTGTAACCTATTCAAAGATGTCCATCGGGGATTTGCAAAATGCAATGTTCACTGTTTTTAACAAAATTTACATGTGAACTAAAATGGTTTGTGATCTCAGCTTAAATTAGATGAAAATACTAGTTCTCATCCAGAAAGCCCCTCTAGTCATTAAGAATCTTTGCACTGACTTACCTAGATAGGAGTTGGTTCAGAAGCTCTATGCCCTCTATTATTTACTGATCTCAAGTAAGTGTGACAATGCCCTTTTTTTCCCCCTAACTGTCTGACTTATAAAGGTGTTGCTGTAAGCTTGCATTTTTTCTTGCCTTTTCAGTTTATCACCTGGTTATACCTCAGCCAGAATTTAGACTTTAGATTTCAGAAAGGAGATACCATTTTTTTCCTGTCTTTTATTTTGAATCATACAAAATAATAGTAGTAATGGATCCTGGAGTCAGTATTTTGTATGAAGATGTAGATCTACATAGCTTTGTTTTTTTGCTATAAAAGCATACAGAGTGCTGCATGTATGGCAGAGTGACCTATGGTGATGGAAGAATCCTTTGAAAAGAAAACCAGAAGTTATTTTAGCAGATAAACAAACAATGTTTTCTGTTCACTGAAATTTGTTCAGAGTCAAGAATATATCAAGTTTCACTCATGTCTTAAATTCAAGGTCGGGGTGTTAGTTTTGCCATCTTTATTTTCATCTCTTTTATTCTGAAGCTTGTATGTTTCATTTGACATAATTTGTGAACAGAAAAATACATGCTGAGCCTCCAGTGAGCAGCTGATGGACAAAAGAAAATCGAACAAAAATGCCTTAGCTTTTTCTGGATGAAGACATGGATGTCCTAAGTTAACTTTGAAACTAATGTGCGTTCAGTGTCAAAGCTGAAATACATGTGAAGTTGTATGTGCAAGTGCTGTGGATGCAATTAGGATAAATGGGATTTAACCTATCGTGTTTCATAAAGCGAGTTCTGTAACCACCTGGCTACCGTATAGATGCTAATCCTTCTCTCCTAATAAGAAGTAGATTTTATACTGAAATTGAATTGAAACCTATAAAATCATGCATTAGGTATATACATGTGTGTATATCAGTTTGCATGCATAAAATCAGGCTTTGGAGTTTTGGAAATCAGTTTTTGAAAGGTCATTTTCTCATTAAATTTTCTGAAAATACTTGGTGGATTCATATACCTCTTCAGTGGATGCATTTTTATGAATCAGGATTTTATTTGCAGACTGAGAGGCTCCAGTGCTTAAGGGAGCTACTGACAGCTGAATGTCAAAACCAGTTTCTGGTTAAATGTTATCCTTGGTTGTCTTTAGGAACACAGGCTTCCCAGCCAATATTTTTTCCTGGTTTGTGCATCATGTTTTCATACCCGTCCCTAGACACAGCACAAATGGGCTCCATTTCATAAGCACAGTAGTTAGCAATTCCTAGAAACGTGAATATTTGTTTTAAAAAGGAAAATATTACAAGTGAATGATTAAAAATTCCTCTTTCAGAGGATAATAAAATTTCTATTAGTAACTGGAACCTTGAGTTTTCTTATTGCCCATGGTGTTATAACTAAGCTGAAACTCAGAAACACAGCTAGAGTGTTATTTCTTTGGCGTATTACTTTGGACCTTTGGGGTATGATATAAGGCATAGAGCATTCAGTGCACTCCAGCAGATTGGTGCTTGCTAAATAACAGGGAGAAATAGCTGTACAACAGAGTCAAGAGGAATGATGGTCAGAAAAAGAATCTGACTAAACAGTTTTTCATTGGCAAATGTCAGTTTGTTGTAAGCCAGAGTTTTCCGTGGGATGCATTGACTGTAACAACGCTGAGTTTCTGGTTAAGGTGCTCCTCCTATCCTGGAGTGTACTCAGCTTCATCAGCATCCCTGTGGGATGAGAAAGATAGTTCACTGAAGAGACCCTTCAATCTCATGGGCCTTTCTCTTCTCCACATAGAAGCTGTTCTTGTTCATAAAAATGAATATATTTTAAATCATGGAGAAAAAGACTGACTTTATACTTTTATGGGAGCTAGAAGATTATGAGTGAGATTCCCTCTCCAATTAATATCTGATTGTTTACACAAAATGAAGCCATTCCAAGAAGGGAGATGTATGAAGCTTAGCCCAGAATACCCCTGAATCGGTGACTTGGGAATTCAAATGGGAGGTAGAAAATTGAGATCTAAGACCCAGTGTGTCCTAGATATCCTCTGACTGGTAGGCTATCATAGAATTATAGACTCATAGAGTGGCCTGGTTTGAAAAGGACCACAGTGATCATCTAGTTTCAACCCCCCTGCTATGTGCAGGGTCAGCAACCACCAGACCAGGCTGCCCAGAGCCACATCCAGCCTGGCCTTGAATGCCTCCAGGGATGGGACATCCGCAACCTCCTTGGGCAATCTACTCCAGTGTGTCACCACTCTTTATGTGAAAAATTTCCTCCTAATATCTAACCTGAACCTCCCCTGTCTTAGCTTAAAACCATTCCCTCTTGTCCTATCACTATCCACTCTTGTAAACTATCATTCCTCTTCCTGTTTATATGCTCCCTTCAAGTACTGGAAGGCCAGCATGAGGAGCCTTCTCTTCTCCAAACTAAACAATCCCAGTTCCCTCAACCTTTCCTCATAGCAGAGGTGCTTCAGCCCTCTGATCATCCTAGTGCCCTCCTCTGGACCCGCTCCAAGAGCTCCACATCCTTCCTGTACTGGGGGCCCCAGGCCGGACGCAGTACTGAAGATGGGGCCTCACAAGAGCCGGGTAGAGGGGTACAATTACCTCCCTCTCCCTGCTGGCCACCCCTTTAATGCAGCCCAGAACACAGTTGGCCTTCAGGGCTGCAAGCACACACTGCTGGCTCATGTCCAGCTTCTTGTCCACCAGGAGCCCCAAGTCCTTCTCTGCAGGGCTGCTCTCAAGGAGATCTTCCCCAAGTTATGGTTGTTTCTGTGCTCTGCCTTTTTCTTTTTCTCTGTAAGAAAAAAATCTCAAAGGATGTGACTGATGTCCAGAAATTGTCCATGGCCTGTATTGCCCAGTGTCTGGTTTCTGCTCTGTGTTGTGTGGCACATGCATCAATGAAACGTAGCTGCTCATAAATGCGTGTTGAGTCACCATCCCTGGATGTGTTTAAAAACTGTTTGGATGTGGTGCTTAGGGACATGATTTAGCAGTGGGTTGTTAGGGTAGTATGGTTAGGTTGTGGTTGGACTTGATCTCTAAGACCTTTTCCAACCTGAGCAATTCTATGATCTCTATGTCTTGTTTTTGTCCCAGAAATAACAGTAGTAAGAAAACTACTTTACACAGAATGCAGCATTATATGAAGCAATCAGTCCCCTCCCTCTTGTTAATTATCTCCTCTTAACTAGCTCCTCAGTTACTGAGCAATGTCCAGTTTGCCTGTGCCACCTGGTGTATGGACCAGTGGTTGCTGCTTTGGCCTGCCCTGCTCCACAGACTGCTCACCCCCAGTACAAATCCCACGTTCCCCTTAAGGGCCTGTATCCTGGTGGGCAAGCAGTGAGACGCCCCTCACCTCTGCAGCGCTGGGTTGTTGTTTTGAGGCCCACGCTGCTTCACAGAGGGCTTGTAAATCCTTCTGTGTGCCTAGGCCCAATACTGAGGGTTCACATGCTTCTTGGTGCAAAGCTGCTCTCTGCTTGCATTTTGCCATGGCAGGGAAGCTTACTTAAAAAGTACCTCTTGCATTCTGTCAGAGGTTTGGGGTTATTTTCCTTCAGTGCCTTTGCCATCCTGAATAGTATGGGAGTGCTACAGAGGGATGTGTGCTTCTAAATGACAGGGAGGCTGAGCCAGACTCGTCCATGCTAGGGCTG